AGTGAAGCAACCCCAAATTTGGCTTGCACTACGGTTCAAGGAAACAGTCCTGAACCAGGGGTGTGGAGATCTTTGCCCAGGGCCAAGAGGAGTTCCAGGGTTGATAATTTAGTGCAGAAGTGGATAGGATGTGGGCAGGAAGCGTAGAACGTAGGACATCCACCGATCAAGGTCAACCCTGTAGAAGTACCTGCGGAAGGGGTCGTATTTAGCTTGTGGGTGGGGGGAATTGTACTCGCGGTATTCAGCAGTGCGAGCAAAGCCTATTGCCCCGCATGTACCCAGTCATGGGCCCTAGGAATAAGAGGAAGGTTGAGGAATGAAGAAACAGCAGCAGCAAAACATGTAGCTTCGTTCAAAGAGAGTGCTCCCACCATGACATGGTCTACCACGAAACCACATTTGAAACTAAAGTGTAGCTGGAGTATTGCCTAAGACAACATGGACAATAGCCACCACGTTACGTTTACGCAAGATAATTGATACTAGAGCATCTATAAGCCGCTTCCTTCTGAATGAGCTTTCAAATGAATCAGCGAATTAGAAGCGCGCCGAGGCGTGGCGCACACCAAGGCAGGGGATGTAGTGCAAGCGCATGCTCGAAGCTTTCTAGCACATCCTAAATTCAACAGAAATTGCTTTCCCTGAAACTTACGGCCAGTGAAACCTAAAAAAACGCAAATCAACAAAATGGCGTTAAGAATGCCTTCCGAAAAAAGTCCCAAGGGACTAATTTTTGTACTGGGAATTTTGAAGAAGTTCTTGTATTTTTTAGAAAGCTCGAAGTTTGTAGTTTGCAACACTGCGTTCAGCTTTCCAAATCAATGGCTTTGAAGGAAGTTATGGTCGTTTGAAGGTTGAAAAGTCGCGGTTCCAGAAAAATAGTTCCGCAAACCCCCAAAAAGGTCCCAACGCGACTAGCTAGCGACTTATACCATGAGTTGGAATGAAATGGTGCCCCGGTAGCGTAACTGGTTGCCCGGAAAGCGAGAGGTGCGGGTTCTAGTCCCGCCTGGGGCGAAAGTTTTGTTCACAACCCAGCATTCTTGTGAAATCTTCGAGGAATATTCAGCAACGCTTAGAAAGAGGACGATTAGAGTTGTTTCTGAAAAACCTGGGAGTAGAAACTTGAATTCGAAGGAAGTTATGACTCCCAAAAGAGGAAGGTAAAAATTGCATCGCAATTTTATTTCTTGCTTAATAACTTAATCATTTCGAAATTTTTGAGAAAAGTTAAGCATCAGTTAGAAAGCCAGAGTCTCGCTGATCTCGAATCCACTTCAATCTTCCGAACTACCTAAAATTCAACAAAGAATTGAATACTCGTCTAAATTTCAGTATCGCCTTGCCTCCGTCGCCTGTTCCCGATTAGTAAACGCGCTTCATCGTCAGGACGCCAACGAGTGCGATTCAGCGCATTCGAAACGCTTCAAATAACATCGCGTTGCGTTTTGATAATTAATTCCTCTGCGCGGCCTCCCTATCCAAAATTTAAAAGCTTGGCAACTCGGTGCCAAATGAGTTGGCACCGAGCTAGAGCACGCGGCAGCGCCGGGGAGGGGGTCGTACCGAAACCCCGATGAAGGTGGGGCGGCAAGAATTCCCAAAAAAAACCACGTAGGGATTGACCAGCCACCGGCTCCTTTTAACAAAGGTACAACTTTCAAATGAGTCGATCACATATTATCCTGTCTTTGTTGTTAGAGGGCTCAAGGAAGTGCTTTCTGGGATTGAGGATAGCTCGCCACCCCCCCCCCCCAAATGGACCCTCTCTAGACATTCATGATCATGATGAGCACTAACTCATGGAAAAAGATACATAATCACATTTCAGCATTTTCTACTCTATGCTAGCGATCAAAATGATATTGAAGAGCATGCAAAATAAAAGAAATATGCGGAACATTTGGACCTTGTGCACGGTTCTATACCTCATCAGTGCATTAGGCAGAGGAGTTCAAGCAGGAATAATATTGAGTGGAGACGAACACACCGGTTGGTTTTTGCAATGTCAATCTTTTTAACTGCGAGTACAAAGAAAAAATATTGCCCACCGCTTTTTAGATCCATACCTCACACGTGCGCCCTTACTATGTAGTCTTATGTGAGTGGACATCTTTTTCCTATACACAGGTACGCTACAAACATTAATTCACGATGAGTCTTCAAAATTTGTTTGCGTCTATTTGTACGCAAGCTCCCTTGGCTACAACAGGGTCAGGTCAAAGGATAAGGATAAAGCATTTGCCGTTGATCAATCCCTTTTTGGGATGCGGCACGCATTCTACTTCCATTTGTACATTCGTAGTGGCGTTTGAATGCGATGTGGCCTATACAATGACTTGCGGGGCCAGCCGATGTACAAGTCAGTGTTTTTATCCTCCCAGACAAGTCTGGTACCAATTAACCGACCCCGGAGGGATGGAAGGCTTGGTTGGCCCGGGCGACTCACGACCCAGGATTTGATCCCCGGACCGCTCGCGTGGTAAGCGTGCCACTTGCCACTACACCACTTCCGCCCATAACAGAGTCAGATACTCCGAATATATCTGACCCTCAGTTCTTGATGAGACTGTGAAACCGAGAGCTTTTTCGACAGACCAGGATGACCAGCCTTTGATCAAACAAGTCAACAATAGGGGGTAATGAATAGCAAGCTTGTTATGTTGATTGCATATCTTATTTTGAAGTGCTCACTGGTTACCTTTCTTGGTCTCAAAGAACGTCAGAAAGTTAAATGTCTAATCGGTGATTTGTATCGACAGCTGCTCGCTCTTTTTCCTGCCATTAAAGCGAAGCTGTAATAAATGAGTGTTCTTAGGAGGGACCGAGCTCAGTGGAAGTTGATTGGGCGCCAGTGATGCTGAAAGGAAAATAAATAAAAGAAACGCTGTGTTACTCCCGACAGTTCGTTCTGACATCCACGCGGGGATTTGGACGAGTTTCCACGAGCGGGTAGCTAAAAACTGTTCCAGCGCCTCTTGTTCACTCAAGTCCAGACATCGATACGGACGCGTAATTTCGGCGGAAATGTGCATTCGACACCCTTCCTTTTCTCAAAATTCCCATACGTTTTATGTAAATAATTAACAAGAACCGCCCTGGTTTATTGGGAAAGACCCAACGACCCTTAACCTCACAAACAGGATGCGCGACATTGAGTAGCAACCTAACACTGCTGCAGAGCGGCTGCGCCGCGCTCTTCTTGCAGCGCCAACGTGGCAGCGACAGCGGAAGGCGGGGCTCGCGGACTAAGGTGTGGATTGCGGGTGGAACAAGCTTCCAGCGGGTTGCCGCGCGCTTCCAAGTTGCAAGGGGGCATGACACAAACTTTCCGCCTGCCTACCGCGATCGGAGGTGGAACAGGTAGGCACTCCCAATCACGGAGCGTGCCTTTAGGCCTTCCCCTAACCAACAGCGTTTTTTTTGCTTTTCACCTTTCCGCTGCTATACACACAAAGTCTACTGTGAGCGCTTGACCACCGCTTCTTTGCAAGATTTCTCGGTACACTTCCAATAGACAAATTATGATTTGTAGAAAACCCCGCCTATTTGAAGCAGCGACCCAGGACCAGGTAGATGAGGTATTAGCGTACGATAATTAAGTGGTGGAGGGACGGGGGGGGGGAGAGAGCAAAGAAGAAGCCGTTGACGACGCCGTTCACTAAACCACTCTCCTCGTCTCTGAAAGGATCCAAGGGTTGTGGTCGGTTTTCTTCTTCCAGTCTTCTGGCTCAACTGCAAACCCTCGCATATTCGAACTACCACTACGTCATGATCCACTTTGCGTCCTAGCGCTAGGACTCTGTTCCTTTTCTCACATCTTGCTCTGATTAGCTAATTTTGTAAAGTTAGCGCTCTTGTAGTGCACAGTTTTCCCACAATCTTTGTGTTCTTCCTTTCTTACAGGACAGATTAATCCAGATGACCCTATCAGGAGTTGTTGCTCAGAGAACACACTTCCCATTGCCGGAGCCATTTTGTGTTGAGCGGACTCAGGTTTACTCAAACAATTCAAGTGCTCAACAGTTTTCCTTCTTTAATGGCTGTGTCTTATGAATTCCTTTGGTATCTCCGCTCACGCAGAAAAACTTCGCCTACCAGAGCCGTGACAGGAGGTCTCCTTAATAAGAAAAGGCAAAATAGTGAAAACCTCCTATCGTTTCTCCCGCTGTGTAAATTGTTCTGGAACCGAATTAGAAGATTTACCTCCGGAACCGCCCATATGGATATATGGAGGGCCCGTAATGGCGACACTCGATCTACCATGGGTTCCGTAAACCTTGGCAATGCTCAACCCATTCCAACTGATTCGGATTCTTAGGCTATTATTCAGGTTGTACAGAGTTTCAAATGGGTGGTAGAACTTTCACAGATAGACAGATTGAGTCGATCAATTTTAATGTGGGTGTGCAACACTAATCGTAAGTTTCAAATAAGATCTGGAAGAGCTTGTTCATCCCTTCGTTTTTTGCGTCCTGACGTGAAGTGAATCTCAATGAGGCTGGCTGGCCAACTCGGGAAAACTTTCATAGAATTGCTAGTGTCGAGCTGCTGCTATTATTACGCCGTATCTTCTATCTCTCTGCACTCGTAGGAAAAGTTACTTCATATCGAATACAAATAGAACCAACAATCGAGTAGAAAGCTCCAAATGTTCAGTGAGAGTGCAGCATGCTTGAAATAATAGCAGTATTTGTAGCATTGTTCTGTTTACCCTTTTTTGTTGTGGAACGATGTTATGCTACATGCTATCTCGAGCAGTATGAGAAGGAACAACAAGTTAAGCTTGGGAATATTCTCGTCCTGTTATTATTGGCAGTGGCTGCGGCATCATCTTATGCCGCTGGAACAGGTACGCATACGTTCGTTCGTGTGCTAACCCCACACGATTTCTCGTTTACGAGAAAAAGAAAAGAATTTTCTGTAAATCTGAATATTTCAAACGCTTCCGCAAACATTCGTGATATCAATTTATAGGAAATTCAACCGTGATTCACTTGGTTGTCGTCGTATTCGCAAACAGCTTCGCGTTCGTTGTAAGTTTTACCAATACCTTCCACAAAGCTTCGAACTGCAAAAAAATATAATTTGTTTATAAAGCTGGCTGCTTACATCCGAGCAACAGAGAATCATAATAAATCATTGAAACCATTCCAGCTAACGCTTTGGCCATGCCTAACGACAAGAGGCAAGCTCGAGCCTCACATCACACATATAGCACGGACCACTTAGTCTTAATTATTGTTTTTATTGCACCCCACTCATTCAACTTCCTGCAGAATCATTGCGGCATTTGTGTTTCTTCTGGCCTGTACGCGATAGTGCTGGGAAAAGAATACTATCATGTCAGGGCCTTTTCCTCCGAAACAGGCTCCGAGTAGACGAAACTTGGACGAGGGGCGGGGAAAAGCGGGAAGGGAAGTCGATTGGTTTGAGTGGAATACAATAACAGATCTGCTCGTGCACCTAATAAGTAGTAATGGCTGCAACTGTAACATTGCCTTGCCCTAAAACTCCACTTCCCTGGAAGAGGTACTACTAATTTTTTGGCATTTGTGCCGCGATAGCTGCAAAGAAGTCGTTATAAGGCCCTTCTGAGAAGTGGATTGGAAATCTATTGTATTGATAGGTATTTCCATGAGTAGCTTCGCTTATTTCGAATGGAAAACCTTTTGCTAGAATCCCATAGCTTCAAGGGTATGTCATATGTCTTTCGAGGAGGATTTGTCTGCTTTGAAGAACTGTTAGTCCCTCCACACGTCTCCTGCAGAAAGAAGCATTTTAAGACTATGACCGACAATTAGCTCTAACTTTATACCTTTCAAGGACAAGTCGATGGCGATTCACTTCTTACGCAGTCACTACCTCTCCTAAACATTCCGCCACTAGGTTGTTGGAAAATCCCTTGTTGTGTTCCTTTTTTAATTTGATTTTTCTGGTAAACCGGATTCATAGCCATGCGTTCCTCCTCTTGAGTACAATTACTTCATATAAAGTTATATTGTAGAGTCATTCGTTAGCTTCTTTTCTGCCCTTATATGCTTACGTCTTGTGTCAATTTGCATTATGATTTAAGACGACTTCTACGCCTACGTAATAAGGTGTTCAAGACGTGTTCTTGACATTCCAACGATTTTTAGCGCCTCTGCCGCGAATATTTTCTTGGGTCTAGACACGATACTGCTCAACCATAGACTTGTGGTGGAAATAACTATTTTGAAAAAAGAGGACGCGGCTTATTGGGGAGCGGCATAGCGGAAAAATAGTATATGACTAATTAGAAGGTACATAGTTGTTTCAATCTTTAGGGGCTTCTAGAAGAATGATCGAGATCAATCTAGTTGTCGGTGTATCTATAGGACGAGACTTATGAGAAGATCGAGATCAATCTTATAGTTGTACGGAATGATACCTATTTTTTCGCCAACTGATACAAGACTTTTCGCGCTCCAAGTTTGAAATCTCTGCAATGAACTTGGAAGCAAAACACACCGTCCCATTGCGTACATCATTTTGAAAGATCTAAGACTTTATGTGCAAACATGGAATTCTTCAAGAAAATTTTCGTTTCAAAAAAAGCGCCGCTACTCTTGGGACAACCTGTTATATTGGTGACAGCAATCAGCTGCGTACAGATCTACGCTACTTATTCGGTTTTTGGCGGAGCAAGCGTACCAGTGCGCGACCGAAGACATCAGGTGTTCGTTACATTCCACCATGGACATTTCGGTCATCATTAGATGGAACCACGTTACCATGGTGACTTGAGTGCAGTCGACTCGTTTAGCTTCAGCATTTTTTTGATAAAGGTTGATCAGAGCATGTCCAACTATGTTTTACTCTGTAGGGAAAAGTGGCCAACACTAGTCAACTTCTTTTTAGTTCGTGCCTTCTACTATTTTGATAAATCACGGAGAGCAGAAGATTAAATTCAGGTGAATGCGGTGCATTATAAGCTCAACAAGCGCTACTATTGGGAAGCAAAAAGTGGTCTCGATGGCATTCGGAAGTACTCCTTAGGTGCTCGCTATCAAATTGCCGAAAATCTCCGGATTTGTCATGTATGTGCAGTTTGTTCCAATTTTTTTACTAATAACACCGACCTATTATACAAGAAACTTCTCGAGTACCGTGTAAGGAGACGCACGAGTAAACAATATTATGTCCGACAGAGTGAGTCTGGTAGTGCTTCAATAGAAAGGATTTTTTAGGGTATTTGATAGCTTCGTACACATTCAATTGAGAACTGCAAAATACCACGCATAAGATTTCCTGCAAGAGAGACTTCGCTGAGCTTAGTCGGTGAAATGTAGTTTTAAAATCAGTAATAATGAAATTAAAATTGAAATTAAGACTCGTGCAAGCACATGAGAAAGTGTGCTGCATGGAATAGAGGCATCGATAGACATCCTATGCACCCCTTGTCTCGAACTCGACCCAGGGCACACAGTTGAACTCAGGCTTTCTTCAAATGTGCATACATGGTTGATTTTGGAGAAACAAGTACCTGATCTTCACTGCGATCGTGAGCTATTCACATGAATGCAAGTTCATGCGCCGAGTATTAAGTTGTAAGGAATTTTGATGCTTTTGACAGCAAGCAGCGACAGCGTTGAGTAATATTTTTGATTAATTAGTTGGCAGGCTGATTTTTGCATGCTGTTAGAATGCGCGTTTTCTGCTCTAAAGGTTTTGACTTTGCTATAGTACAACTACTCCGACTTTTTCAATGCGTTGAATACACATGCTCGACGAGTGAGTCCACACGATTTTCCTCTTCTGACCCTAATTCTCGCAGAAGGGAAAGGAATCGGCCGTGATTTAGACCATTTCTTTGGCCAAGTTTCACGAAAAATAAACTGTGCGAAAAAGCGATGGTTTGGAAGCTTGTGTGGGAAAGGCGAGAGTCGGGAAATTGGTGAGTGAGGCCGTTGAATACCGAATGTTGGTGAAAATTAGCCGGAAGTTTTAACAGATCCTAATGGGCTTCAAACTGTTGAGTTGCTGAATTAGGCGTAACTGAGTTGTGGCTCAGAGTTGTACGAGTCGGTTGAAAAGTCCGAAAATTTCGATTAAGGGGTGCCGCAAAATGCCACAGTTAAGTCCGCCCGCATTCTTCCATCTTTACTCCAGTGAAAACGAATCTTTTTCCATGTGAAGTGCGGAATGCAATACCGAGTAAATTCTCTGCGATAACCTGTGAACTTTGGCTGGAGAGTTCGATTACGACTAGGGTTTAAAAAACTTTGACAATGTGAAACTGCATGGAGAATGTTATGTTACCTCTTACGCTTTTGGCGGCAGGCGCAGCTCTCTGAGCTAGACAGAATGATTGAAGTGGAACAGCGTTTTTGCATGGTGCGAAGAAACACCCTAAAGTATTGACAACTGTGCTCAGCAGAACCCATTGTGAATGCGGCAATCTGCTCTGTGCGTTAGCCGCCAACCGCAGATGCCAACCACAGAATGAGCCCTACGAAGAAGAACAAGTTATGGTACTGAACTGTGCCACGAATGCCTTACTCACTAGACCTCTTTCCCGAATCTTGCAACTTTTCCAGTCGTTTGGATGGTCTTTTTGAGGAAAAATGCTATGAAACCCAAGATAAAGATAAAGCGACCTTTGCCAAATTAATCGTTTCTAAAAAAAGTAGTACATCCAGCAAAAGACTAATTTAACGCCTTCAAGGGGGAGTGGCTTGAATGTTGGAATTGTGACCGAAAAAGCTGTTTGAGTCAAGCTATGCGCAAATTTAGTTCCAGGGTCAAACACAGCAAAAACTTTCCTTGCAGCAATTTACGATGCTTCAAACTGACTTCTAAATTTTTTTTACACACATGGGTTGCCAAATGCATACGACATAAAATTTCAAACTCTATTCGTGTTCAAATTTCATTGATCTTCGTCACATTCTGAGGCTTGAACTTATCTTCTTCCGGCATGGTCACGATGGGAAAATTAGAGAAAGCATAAAGGAATTATCACGGTCATAGAATCACTTATTTCTTCGCTCTTCTAACAACACATTGTCTTGTCATCCTCACTATTGAAGCTTTGTATTCGCTCATTCATGGGTCTGCCAAGGTTAATAGTTGTTCCTTGCGTAGAATACGACAAAACCTACCATATGGGGGCTACTCGTTTATTCGTTTACTTGTCATCCTCACTATTGAAGCTTTGTATTCGCTCATTCATGGGTCTGCCAAGGTTAATAGTTGTTCCTTGCGTAGAATACGACAAAACCTACCATATGGGGGCTACTCGTTTATTCGTTTATAATGGCATGAGCCTTTTTTTGTTCGAGAAGTGTTATACCTCCTCGTTCTACGATACATATTTCAGCGTAGGCCGGTAAAACATGCATTTGTGTGTTGATGCTCTTATACTTATATACATGGTTTTCTATATCCTTTTTAGTTCGTCAATCACTTGGTGTTTTGCGCGGTACTTCTAAACATAATCCTATCTATATGTCTCGCCATCAGCAAATTCAAGGTCTCAGAGTTCTACCAAAATGTAGCCGTGCTCATATATAACTACACTGCCCTAGTGTAAGTGACATGCATTTCTTCTTACCCTAGAAATTTAACGAAAACGGTTTATGTGGAAAATAACGAGAGTACTACTTTTTTCGAGATATTTGACGATTAATTGATAGATTTTATGACGTGTTAAAGCACAAATAAACAAATAAATAAGTAAACAAATGAATTATAACATTGCTTCAGCAGATGTAGCCTAGTAGTGTATGGGTGGGCCACACTGACCCCTCGTGCACCGGCACTGGCGGCGTCGGAGGTGAGTGCATATTTAGGTTCTGTCTCCCTTCGCTCTTTTGTTTCTTCTTCACCGGCGCACAGCTTGACCGTTCTTTCTTCACATTTCAACGGCAATACATTGCCGCAAGCATTGTCTCTATTCCTCTGCGCGAGTCGCCCACTTTTCAAAGGTGCGAGCAGGTGCTCCCGCTTGAACGCTATCGCTAAGTTATGTGGTAGCAGTTCTGAACGAAGGGAATAGTTAAGACTGATGTATGTCAGCACGGATCACCATGGACGTACACATTAGTCTGTTTCCCACCATCAAGTGCGGCAGGAGACACCTTATCACATCGATCGAGACAACACTCGCATACCGATTTGGCAGGGCAAAAGTGGTCGATAGTGAAGTGGGTCCGAGTTGACTTTTAGTGAAAAAAGAAATGAAGAGATCGCCGACGAAGCACTCCTACAAGGAACCCTCTTTGGCCTCGAAATGAGACAAGCTGACCGGAGTAGTTTCCCCGGCATTTATTGGTGGCTCATGTGAGCAAAATGCGGCAATCGCATATGCACCAATACGAATAGAGAAATGTGCATGAATACAAATTAAAAAAAACACGACATTCGAACGACTAAGAATCAATCAAGACTCGGCAGCACTCCTTCCGACGCGGTAGTACGAAATCGCGATAGGACCACGCAGCCAGTCATGCAATCGCGCAAGGACCGCGCCAGTCAGGCGATTTTTACTTCTTGCGAGTGTGCGAATCAGTGGACGAATCTGATCATGACCAAGCCCTTACACGCTGACGACATTGTAACGCGCATGCGCTGCCCACTTTGTGCACCGTGTTGGACCATATGCAGCGTATGTACTTCGAATCCAAGTCCTTCATTTTTTGCGCGCATACACAACTCCTCCATCAAGGATGAATGATAGCCATGCGAGCAAGCAGGGTTTCGAAGAGGGTTCAGCACGATCGACCATATCCACACGGTTACAAGACTCATTGAAGTTTCACGAGAGTACAAGATGCCGCTTTGTCTCACGTTCATCGACTTGAAGAAGGCCTTCGACTCTGTGGAGACAGAAGCGGTCATCGAAGCCTTGGGCAACCAGGGCGTCCCTACTCAGTACATCAAGATTCTTCGTGAGCTCTACAGCAACTTTACGACCAGAATCTCACCATTCTACAAGGAGGTCATCATCGACGTCAAGAGAGGGGTCCGACAGGGCGACACCATCTCGCCCAAACTCTTCAGCGCCGCTCTCGAGAACGTCATGCGTCAACTGGAATGGGAAGACATGGGAGTGAAGGTCGACGGCCGGCAACTACACCACCTTCGTTTTGCTGACGACATCGTTCTTAACGCCGAACATCGAGCAAGCGGAGCGAATGCTGGCTGATTTCGACTGCGCCTGTGGTAAGGTTGGTCTACAGCTGAACCTAACGAAGACGATGTTTATGAGAAACGGATTGGTTCCTGATGCCCCATTCACGCTCAACGGAACGAACATCACCGAATGCTCCAGCTACGTGTACCTAGGTCGGGAAATCAATATGATGAACGATCTAGCTCCAGAGCTGAGCAGGAGGAAACGAGCGGCATGGGGAGCGTTCAAGAACATCGAGGGAGTAGTGAAGAAGACGAAGAACATCCGGCTCCGTGCCCACCTCTTCGATTCCGCAGTCCTTCCTGCCCTAACCTACGCCTCAGAGACTTGGACTCTGCGCAGGCAGGACGAGCATGCGGTCAGCGTTATCCAACGCGCTGTCGAGAGGACGATGCTAGGAGTAACCCTATACACGCAAGTGCAGAGGGGAATCCGGAGTTCCGAACTACGCCAACGATCGAAGATCAGGGACGCTGCCGTTTTCGCCAAGGAATCGAAGATAAGGTGGGCCGGACACGTCATGCGATTTTGCGATGACCGTTGGACCAGAGCGGTTACCGACTGGATCCCTCGGGACGTCAAACGAACACCTGGACGACCGCCGGCCCGATGGTCAGACTTCTCACGAAAGCTCTGAACGAAAGGAATGAAGGACTTCGTGTCCCTCGAGCGAGGAGGGTCCACTGGACAACTCTTGCACGCGACAGGGACGAATGGAGACGTTGCTGGCGCCCGCTCGAGCAATTCGATGATCAACGGGACGACAGGTGATACAGGTGATACACAACTCCCTTTTTATAATATTTTTAGCATTTATTTTATAGATTACACCATATTGATGGTGAGGTCCGCAGAAAAATGAGGAATCACTTTGGCAAAGGATTTCTAAGCTTGACCAAATTTTTGATTGCTCTCCAACCTCAAGTTATATTACACATCTTTGCACATAAACAAGCAAATAGAGTGGAAATACATACAACAAAGCAAGTCAGTACTAGATGCAATAGTTATATGTGTAATCCTATAGACTTGTGTTTCATTCCGTCCCATTTAGTTCCGTCTCATTCATTCTCGAAATTCTTGATCCTGGTTGCTTCCGTTGAGTTTGTTTCTTCAACTACTTGGTCCTTTATTTTTTATTCAAAAACAGATCCTAAAGAGTGAATTGATTCTTGACAGCCATAAACGGCGTTACCTTGGCTGGAGTCAGCACTAAAATCACAGATCGTAAGGCGACATCTCGCTGGAATACGAAGGAACACTACCACTACCAGACTTATCTTCTTCCAAATCTTCTGATTTTACATACTGCAGCTTTTCATCCCCTCTCTCTTCTATTTGTTCTTGGTTTTCATCGTTACATTCTCAGCCGCTGATTGAAGTTGGAACTATTCACATCATCTTCACGGAATTCATTCATTTTAGATGCCCGAATAAGCTTTTTTCCAAGGATTTTGTTGAATGAGCCTTTTTCGTGTATGCATTCGTCTTTTTTGTTTAGATCAACTCACGCGATTGCAGCTCTCACAACTAGCTCTCACTTGCAAGCTCCTAAAAACGCGTCTTGAAGGACCATGCGATGCGCGTGCGTTTCGGGGCCGTCGCTCCGATCTCACATCGCAGTAAAAAAACCGAAATGCACGTTGTCAACGTGTCAAGACGCTTTTGCTGCTACAGCGTCACCTGCCGTCTTCTTAGTCAAGTCTTTGTTCTTCCATTCTTCCCTATCGGAAAAAGTGCACTCAACTCGAATTCTTTCTCTAAGACTCGCTATACCATAAGAGATAGTTTCTCCTAAAAGAATCTCGTTTTCGAAGCTGCCGACTAGACTAAAGCAAAGTTCGGGATTACTGCCACTTAAATTATTGTTGTATAGTGTCCTTTACCTGAATATGACTCCCTTGTTGACTGTATATAATCGCAGAGCCCATTCAAGCTACAATTTCAATGGATAATAAATTCAATCAATAAAGTCTGTTTATCTTTCCATGGGAATGCTGTAGCATTCAAGCATTCATAAAAACTTATGCGTAAATAGACAGAAACTATTCAGGTATGGTATCGTAATCCCACTGGTTATATACTGTCACAACAAGAAACACAAAACTGAGTTGGAGCGCCTGAAGATGAAGGTAAGTTTTCAAAAGTTATTTGCTCGTCTACTCAGACAAACGCTGCGTCATGGCGTGCTACACAAAGAAATTCTGCCCTCGACCTTGTCACAATAAAACCTTTTTTCCGATGAATGCGTAATGAGAACGACTTACACACCTTTTTGACAGAGGAAATCATACTGATTGTTCATGTTACGAGACTCTGAAATAAAGTGCAAGCCATCTCTTCCATTTACACACTGCTCAGATAGTTTTCCATAGATTCCATATTCAAAAAACTATGTGAGGTATTAATCCGTTGGTTGCTTCAGGTACTTGCAGAAAACCGACCGGGATCTTCAAGTGGCAAATCATCTAGAGATCGAGAAACAAGAAAATCTCATCACGTCGATATGTACTCTGATATGTTTATGATATAACCAG